ATTATATAACAGCAATGCAAATATCCATATATGTATACATTACATATAATGGTTTAATATCAAGGCATTAATTTCTATGAGGGAAAATCTTTGCCATAAAACATTTATATCTAAATATTTGAAGACTTTTAAATTTTTAACAGTTTTAAGGACATAGTTATTCTGCTGCATTGCTATCATTTTTTAATACAATGATTCTATTATCAATTTGTTTTAGAAAATACATCCTCTGGTTTGTACAGAGATATACTTACTTTTATGCCTGCAAATTTATGCACTATAATACCCAAAGTAACGCAGATTATAAATGAGAACCTTCTACTTAATATTCTAGACAGAACTAAACATTCGAAGAGCCAATTTTTCAAGAAGAAACACCAAAATATAGTAAATGGGATGGCATCGTCTGAAGGAGATCATTTTTAAATACTTTTAAATGATTGGTGTGTTTCTTCTCACATTTCTGGTAGACACACTCTCACAGGAATATGTCTTCTTCCTCTGGCTCTTACAATATCTCTCTCCTTCCTTTTGTAATGATCCTTGAGCACTAAGTGCTGGGTTTTTATTGTAGATAAAACCATTGGGACTGTGCTCCACGACTACACATAAAATATACTCACTAATGTGCACATGCTGACACACACACAAACATACTCATACATGTAACAACAATCAATGAGAAAAAAAGTGGACTTGAATTCGAATAGAAGAACAAAGATGGGTATGTGGGAGGGTTTGGAGAGAAGGAAGGGGAAATGATGTTATTATTGTATAAACGCAAAAAATAAAAAAATGACTACAGTTAACACGGTTGATATCTAATCCACTTCTAAGTGGTCATATAAGCATGATTCTGTGGGATATGTTGTTTCCTGAGCACTAGTTTTTGATTGGCACCAATGTTTGGTGAATAAAACACAAGCATGCTTATTTGTGGTTGGGGTGGGTGTTGACAGTGTTTAGTGAACCTGATTTTCAACTCACCCTTTATTTTTCCTCTTCCTTCGCAGTCTGATTGACACTCATGAGTCTTTAACTGGCATTTATTCCGATGTATAGCTGACAAAATGAGACCATGTGGCCTTGCTAATTAAGTGACTCACACGAAGAGAGAATGAAGGTCTAATTGAAAAGTAGAGTGCTAAAATTGTCATCAAGATGAGTGAGGAAATTTCCAGAAATTTCTCTGGAGACTGTTTGGTGCCATGGACTGCAAACAGAAAGGTTAAATTCCCTTCTTGGCATATAGTTTTCTGATTTTCTATTTAAGCAAGAACTTACCTATTCAATAAGAGCTTTGAAAAATGTAGTAAAGGAGAACATATGTGTGTGTGTGCTTGTGTGAGTGTAAATTCTCATCTTCCATAATTAAACCTCAACTAAACAGGGCATATGAAATTGAGTCAGGAAGGTAGCAGCATCAGGTAGTCGTCTACATTTAGTATTAGGAATCAAAATAAGATTCAAGGTGAAGAAGGATGCTTATAAGAAATCCCACACTAGTTCAGAATGGAGAATAATGGAGGGTTATTTATTGAGGGGTAGACTCACAAATCACAATCCTCTGCTGGAACTGAGAACTGCATCTGAATCCCACAACCAGAAAAGTGACAGACTGCGTGCTGTACATCTGTATAAATGGTGTAAGAGGCCACGCCCAAGAGGGCAGGTAACTTAAAGGCTACTGGCAGTAGGAATTCCTATAGTACAAGGTGAACATAATGTAGAGTTGCTGCATTTCTTGCAGGAAACCTAACAGCTGCTGATGGTGACAGAGTGGAAAGAGGGCTGAGTTGAAGAGTAGAAAGGAATATAGGCTTCTTCATCTATGTATCCTCCCTTCTTCTACCCAGGTTACTTAGCGACTGTAAATGGCACAAGAACTGAATGAATGTCTACTTTCCTAGGTCTGAAGGGACCAAAACAAAAACTGATTCAATCTACTAAACTGATTATGGAACTGAGCAAGAAAGGGAATGCCAGTAATTTCAAAACTGAAGAAGCTGAGGAAGGAAGATATATGCTAGAGGCCAGTCTCTCCTACGTTTCAAAACCCCATCTCAATATTGATAAAGACATATAAAACAAACAGAACAGACAACAGAAGAAAACCTAAGTGAATGGAACTCATGGAGTAACAGTTATCTTTTGAGATATGATTGTCTAACCCACTCTATGAATTCCTCAGCATCACCTTAGTTCAGATGCAAATGTATTAGATGGTAGCACAATATGGCCCCAGAGCAGGAGAGCTTTTCTCTGGTATTTAACAGACTTGGGAAGATTGATGCTATTGCTGATACTTGCAGTTACTTCCACACCACACCCATAGTTACTTACTCCAATTAATTTTGTACAAGTCTTCTCATTTGTGTTTTCAGAAAAACAAGGCTTTCATAATGAAAAATATTATAATATTAAATTTTAAGAGTTTTTTCTAGTTTAAAAATGAAGTTACCATAAAACAATAGCTTAAGAGAAATATAGAGGCTTGGACAGAGTGATGGCAAATTAGAGAAATTAATTGACTTGGAGCCTTTTATATTTTGTATGTTTTCAGAGACATGTATCTTCAAACTGGGAATACACAGAAATGACATGACTTGTAGTGGCATATAGGAAATGTCACCCTCAATTTTTTAAAGTCAGTAATGGGAAAGAAGTTACTTTTTTTGTTTTTAAAAGAACTGATACTATATCATGAGTCAATTTTGTGTGCAAAGCATATGAATGTGGCTAAAAATTTTAAATCCGATAAAAAATATTACAGAGGTGAATGGCTGAATATAAACACATCACCTAGCTACTTTGCCTTAACTGATGCTTTGTAGCACCTAAAACAGGGCACAGCGAACTGAATGTTCAAAGGGATGTGTATCATGCTCATGAGTGATGCCTAGACAGAGAGGGTACCACTCTCTTCAGTCTGCAGCTGTTTCATGACACTGATTTTTGTAGATTCTGGCTAATCTTTAAAATTCGAATAGAAACATAGTCTGAACAAAAATAATTCTGTTTGTTGGAAAAGTAAAAATTGCTAAATTTTGGTTGGAGAACAAAATGCATAGTTTGAAGAATGTTATTTTTTCGTTTTTCAAGACAGGGTTTCTGTGTAGCTTTGGAGTCTGTGCTGGAACTAGCGCTTGTAGACCAGGCTGGCCTCAAGCTCACAGAGATCCGCTTGCCTCTACCTCCCGAGTGCTGGGATTAAAAGTGTGCCCCGCCACCACTTGGCAAGGGACCTATTTCTTGTATCCAGTCTCCTAGAGAAAGTTCAGCTTCTCCTACATATTGCTTTGATTAGACTTTAAAATACATGAACAATGTTTTAGCATTTATTTTTCATTGCCTTCACCACTTTCTAATAATAATCCGTCACATGTTATAATTTTGAACTCTTCTTTTGCTAAGTGAAGATTTGACCTATGAATGTGCTCCTGGTATGAGATTCCAACATGTGAAGTTACTATATTAGTTTATTAATTTCCTGTAGCTATAACTGTGCACTGTTGAAAGTTCTTGGTCACAAAATTTGACTCACATTCATTAACATTTTCACTGCTATTTATAGATAGGGATCTAGAAATGTCAAACTCTAAAACATATATTATCTCTCAAAAACATTTGGCTATGGATTTGTTCCTAGAATCACATATAAATATTTTTAAATAATATAGTTTTAGACACGCTAGAACAGAGAAACAATGCATTGGCTATATGCATGCTTCTTGAGTAGGATCAATGTGGAGTTACTAAATCTGAGTGAAGAAATTATCCAGGGAAGTAGGCTCAAAGCGTTAAATATGAGAACATATTTTTTTTTTATCATGGTTTCTCCTTTCTTCACTCTTTAAGCACACAGGTTCTCATTTATGTTCATGTTCCTCAGGTTTAGCACAAGCACGATACTTTATTTTCATGATAAATAGCTTCTACACTAGTGCCGGCATTTCACTAAATTTTAGGCGTGCTCTGGACTTACTTGTAGAAGATATCAGGACCAGGGAAGATTCACTGCATACTCTCTTGAATTTTTAAATTTTCCAGACGATCACTACATCACTTAAACATGCGGAATAAGATATAGCTGGTAATAATACCACTTCTATATAGGATAAATGTCAGTTAACAAGTAAAGGACAACAGCAAACATGAGAAAGTGTTCTTGTTTCTGTTTTATTAAGGAAATTATAATGTTCTAATCAGAAAATGAAGATTAGCTAACTAATGTATTAAATATTACCTCATTCAAAAGTCAAATTTATAAGAAAAGCTATCCAATGTTTCATTCTTATGATAAGAAATTTATTTTTTGTTTACTTTTTGCTCAATTATCTAGAAATTATACTAAGCTCGAAGGCTATGAAAACAACCTTGTCTTAAATGGTCAAATTATGTTACTATAGTGAAATACTACAGAACATTAACAAGACAAGGTGATGCTAAAATATGAGTATGTAATTGGAAGATAGTGTTTGAAGTACACTTTTGAAAATGGATAGTAAAAGATTTAGGAAAGCGAAATATTCAATAGTAAGTAGGTATAACCTGTAACTCTTTTGAGGTGAGGGCTTCAGTATCATTTGTACTTTTGCAGTATCCAGTGGAATTAATAAATATTATTATTGGGGTAACCCTTTGGCAGTGAGTCCTGAGTCCTTGAGAAAGATGGAAATCATGCAAAAATAAATTTAGTCAAAATATTCTAGCAATAATTTAGACTAGCCTTAAGTTCAATGCAATGTGATACTTTAAAATATATTTTATAAACAAATAGAAGCAACATATTACACAGTCATAAATGTTGTGGGTTAGTATTTTGGAACCATAAATCAAGATATTTAAAAAAGAGCAGGATGCCTTGACCAGTCAACTATATGAACTTTCTTATGTTTTTAGAATTCAAATTTCATGGTGTATATTATGCGGTTCCTGCTTGAGATTTTTTTTTTTTTTTTTACAAATACATCTTCAAATATTTTTTATTTCCCTTCTAGGAATTTGCTGCACTGACTAAAGAACTGAATGCTTGCCGGGAACAACTTCTAGAAAAGGAAGAAGAGATCTCAGAGCTGAAAGCTGAAAGAAACAACACAAGAGTAAGGATTAGCTGTTCATTTGCTATCTGTAAATAGTCTACGGTCACATCGCAGCACACACAGCTGAGAACTTTCCAAACCTTTCAGGGTACTTTGAGCAGATTTCAATGCACTGTCAGTTCCTTTGCAAAGAAGGAGACATGGTATGATACCCAAAATAAAAAGAAAAGAAACCAAAATTATAGCCTCTGCTAAATCACTATGTTGCCCTGAAAAAAATGTCCCCATTTCTTCTGGCCTTTACTTCATTGTTTTTTTTTTTTTTTGTTTGTTTGTTTGTTTGTTTGTTTTTTTGTTTTTTTAAAGAGCAAAGGTATGAGCTGCTTATATTGTAGTGCTCTGCAATTGATCCACATTTTACTCTAGCAAAGAACTTGTTTAAAAATACAGGTAAAGGCCGGGCGGTGGTGGCGCACGCCTTTAATCCCAGCACTCAGGAGGCAGAAGCAGGCGGATTTCTGTGAGTTCGAGACCAGCCTGGTCTACAAGAGCTAGTTCCAGGACAGGAACCAAAAGCTACAGAGAAACCCTGTCTCGAAAAATCAAAAAAAAAAATACAGGTAAAGATTATTAGAAAGCTATTGGATCAACCTCTACCAATTAGAAGAGGCTCACCACATTTATTTCATTAGATGTCTTAGAGGTTGATAGTTCTAATAGACATTGTATTGTATGTCTATTACGCAGACTTTCTACTTTATGCGTCTTGGAATTCCTGTACATTGTCAGTCAGATGATGTGCCATGTAAGAATAAGTTTCAGAATTAGATCAAAGGTATTTTTTTTTGTAGATCAGAATAAAATTTTACTAATTTTCACAGAATGTATCGCAAATTTTATTTCTCTTAAATTATTGTAGTCTCATAGCTAGATGGACGTAGAAACCATTTCTATATGGTCATACATGTCATTTTATTATTAAGAAGGTGAAATTATATTAAGTGCCATAGTTCTCCTGGGTTAACCTTCTGCAGACAAAGTGTGATTAGAAGTTAACTTATTTTTTGCTTAGCCTTACAGTGTTATTCAAATGCAGCTCCACTTCAGTGAGAGGTGAACTTGCGTGCATGAAGGTTAAACCATCTAATCTTTTCTGCCTTTATTCATCAAGTTCTAATTGCACGGTGAAAACAATTCACACATGTGCACCATGCATGTGAATTGGTTTTCATCAGGGCTTTGATGACCCAGTCACACAGGTTACCTCTTTTAGGCGTTGCAAGGGCAGTTTAGATCATGGGCTGAAAATTATGGCTGCTCTTTTCGTGTATTTTGGTCATTCTTAATTTTAAAAATAGTACTGCTTTGCCAAGCAGATTTCAGCATTTCTGCCATATTATTTGCTCTGCCCTCTCCTGCTATTTTGAATTTTAATAGATAAATCGGCTTTCTCTGATATAACAGTGCACTCAAACGTGGAAGTGGGAGAAGGAAAGTGAGTATTACAGGGAAATGCACACCTTTGGTTTGATTTTCAAGAATCCTCACAGTAAAAATGCATGAGATTACTTTGTTACCTACATTTGTACATTTATGTCTGTCCATTCTACATTCCTTTATTACATTTTACTACCGATATCTCGGTGGGGACCTCCAATTGCCGCCCACCGCGCCCCCGTGTCTGTGCTCGGTGCGCTATTATCCAGTTTGAGAGCTTCAGACAAGGGGACTGGAGGTTAAAATACACAGACAAACACAGACAGAGAGACAGCGACATGGGTCATCCTTGAATTCTCCAAGAATGCCCCTTTATTGTGTTCAGGGGCAGATTATGTAGAGATAGCCACGCCCCAGCCAAACCCTCCAGAAACCACTGTCCTGCCATCAGGAATTCCTGAAGGTCCCCTGCTCAGAGCAGCTGTAGGCACTCAGATCAGGGGAAAACAAGTTGTTAACAAGAAATTCGGAATCTGGGGTCTCGCTGCTCCCAACATTTTACAACCATGTGCAGAATATCCTGTGCTTATCCCCACTGTAAAGATAAAGCAAGTCAAATGCATCAAAGGTCAATGAGTAAAATACCAGAGGATTAGAAAGGTATTACAATGTATGCTATGCCTGTGCCATTGGCTCAGATCCACGGGGCCACTTGGAGAGCTACCCACATTATACCCACACAGGATTTCAAAAGATTTATGGTGGCTTAGATGAAACATTGCCCCAAAGTCAACACCCCACTGTGTGGCATATGTCATTTGTTTTAATTGTGACTGATTTGAATTGGGATTTATTTCAATAGCCATATGACTTTCAACATATTAAACCCTCTGAATGCACAGGCATATTTGGCTATTTACTTGAAAAGGACCCAAGGGTATGGGGAGCTATCCTGAAATACTTAATAAGAATAGAAAGAGAAGCAAACAAAGCTTTCTGTATGACAATAAGAAAAAAAGAAGTTGTTGATTAGAAGCCAGATTAATAGCTACTAATACTTAGAAAGTGTGAACAAAAAAAATCTATATTTCTTAAAAAGGTAATATGCGAAGTTTTTGTTGTACATTACATCAAGGAAAATAGGATTCTGAATCCTATGGAATATAAAATCCTGATAATATAATGACTTCTTAGATTACATGAACACTTCAGACATTCTTGATACCATCTAAAACCAAAATAAAAGCTACAGGTGTAAGATCCAAACATATTGTCTTCCTTCTCCCAAAATGCTGTATCAAATATTCATTGATATAGTTACATATGACTTATTTTATATAGTATATTACTATATGCTGTTATGCTTTATATATGTGTGTGTGTGTATGTGTGTGTTTTATATTATTTCTTTTTTACTATTTGCTGTCTTACTATGAACACCTACACATTGCCACTGGAAAGAGAGCAGAAAGACAGCACCAAGATCCTTCTCAAATTAAAGAGTACCTGACTGTGTACAGTTGTGAGTTGTGAGTTTAATTGGAAAAGGTTCTTCTAATTTCTAGGGTTCTGATAATTTCTAGGGTTCTGATAAACCTTTCCATATTAATAAATTAGCAATTCTACTTACGAATTGAAATAAATAATACAAAAAGTCAATGCATAAAGTGAACTAAAGTGATTCGATGATGAAGTTGATCTATCATCAAAATCAACAAATCAGAAAGTAATCTGCCTCATTCAGAGAACAAGACATCTTGGGTCCCCCTGCTTTTTAATTGCCTTGATTTTTAACATGCTGATGGTCTTAGAAGATGGCATGTGAACCCAGCAAATAGTGCAGAAGTGTCCTATATAACCCAGATAGTATATATAGCAGTCTCAGCTACTAAAAATGCTAGCCTATGTGTGCCTAGATGCTAGCTAAATGTAATAATGTAATAAAAGAGGAAATAGTCAAACATCTAATTCCAAGTTTCCTAATGATTTCAATTGACTTCTTTACACATATATTCTCAGAATTCTGAGATTACAAGTTGGAAAAATTACACTTAAAAAATAACTTGGAAGCCTTCTCTTCTTAAAGTTTGATATATATCACCACACATTCTGGTTAAAAATTTGTAGCCAAGAAGAGTTTTTATATTAGGATATGATAAGCAGAGATTTCATTGATAAGACATACACTCTCAGTGAAATTTTTTATAGATTTACTAAAATGAATGGGACTGCCTTCATCAGAGAGGCAGGTAGAATCACAGAGATATATGGCTAGCCCACCTGAAAATATTCAAATGCCCCTTTGCCAGTTTCTACTGCCGTTTTGGATTATCATGGGAGCTTTTCCATGCAAGACACCTGTTGCAGGTATGTATTTATAATGTGCTGAAATTTAGTAAGCTCTCTTATATCGAAGTATTGTCTTTTAAATAACAATGGGACTCTCTGGCCTCAACTCTAAAATTTGGAAAGTTAATCTCTCCTATTTTTTTTTAAATTTGTTAAGTTTAGTTTAAAGCATCAAGTTTGCCTCATTGTGCTTGTATTCTTCATGCTTTTCAACATATCTCATCACAATAATGACTCAAGTCAACATGGTCTTGCTTTCCCAGACCATCACTCAGACAAATCATAGGTGATTCTTTATGTAGCTATCTTTCCTCCACACACCATGGAAGATGTTTTACTTTTTAATGTCTTTAATCAGCTGCTTTAGAAAAAAAAATCTATTCAGTACACATCTCTCAAATACCTATTTCTTTTAAATCTATAAATTGCAACTTTAATAAACTGCTTTCTCTTCATTCAACAAATATGATCTTGACCTGGAGATAATGTTGTGATCAACATTCAGAAGTGAGTGGAGAAGAGAAAATCTTCCTTTCCTTATAGACCCTATACTAATAGTTGTGAGGTAATGAATGACTAGCGTCAACCTGGAGGGAAATGGCAGATGGGGACTGATTCCACCTGGGAAAAGAAAGCAGCAGCGTAAGGACTTGGAGAAGCCTGTAGAGAAGAGACATGACTGAAAATACATAAGAGATTGTGGAGTCCTAAGGGCAAGCAGGTAACTAAAGGGGAGTATTTTTGGTTAAAGGAGTAAAGAACTTTGCACAATAACCCAATGTAGCTAAACAAATACCTGCTATTTTACAAAGCTAAGCAAAACTCCACACACAAATGCTGCAACAAAGTCAGTGCACGGATAAGTAAGTAAGCAAAAGAGAGGAGCTCAGATAACGTAGATTTCACTTCGGAAATATAAGGAGTCTGACTTTCTTTTGGTCAAATGAGAAAAGATTAAGGACTTGAGCAAAGGCATGAGTGACCGAGATTATATTTTAAATTGTAGAAGTTTGATGAATGAAAGGATACAAATGTAAGTTGCACTAAGTCAGGAGGAAACACTGAATCCTGAGCCCCCATGGCGTTAGTGGATATATTGGCAGGTGTCTGAATTCTGGATGTTGACACACACAAGAAGAATGATCATGGAAAGGGGGGTGTAAGATGTCCGGTGTTGTGTACAGAGTGTGGGCATGACATAACAAATCCGCATAGTACAAGGTCTCGAGTGAATGTGGTTTTGAGATTGAACATATAAATAGGCAAACTAGAAATATAGCAACCTTGGCCTGAAGAATAGAACCCCAGCTATGAAAGAGTTGCACTTACTGATAATGGCAGAGTCTATAGTGAAATCATCAGGCCTGAATTAGTAAAATTAGGTAAAATTAGAAATCTAGATGGTTAGAATATATAAAATTAATAAATTTAGAGGGTAAGATATTGGAAATATCACCTAAATGAATAATAAACATCATGAATTATGAATCGGGTATCATTTGGAGGAAACTGACATAACCAGAAAGCTAACATATTTAACAGGGAAGTGAATAGACCATTGCTTATGACAGTTAGAAGAACATTCAAACTGTAAGTAGAATCAAATAACTTGAGTGTTCATGTGGTCTTGGTTGTAGCAAACAGAATTCATTGCAGTTATCTTAAACAGACAGTTACCTTTTACAAGTAATAAAAATTCTTAGTTCTTTGGAAAAATTGCTAAGAAAAATAATGTGTATAGCCTGACTTTTCAAAACTAAAGTTCAGAAACTCACTACAAAAGCTGATGAAACTGATTTTTCTTTCTCCAGGTCATTAGAGACTTGGGATTTCTTTGCTGTACTCCTGGATCAAAAAAAAAATGCTATTACCCTTTCTGATGGCTTCTATCTTACAAGGATGTAAAAATCTATCTTACAAGTAAAAATCTGCATAGATAAAAAGAAAAAAGAATGGAAAATTGAAACTGTAATTTTTGATTGTTTATTTGTTTGGTGTGTGTGTGCATATGTGTATGTGTATGTATGTGTGTGTGTGTGTGTGTGCACTCTATGTTGGGAAAGTGAAACTGCAGTGTGAAGAACTTTCTTAAAGAATACAGAGTGATGAAATTTAAGATGGCTATAGAAACAGCTGTCTTTAGTGGTAGAATAATCAAGTTAACATAATACCATATGGTTCTCGTCCTACACTAGCACCAGGCAATGTAAGATTCACAAATATCAATTGAATCTGTATAACCCCATTTACATTAGGGAAACATTTCATCATAAAATTCAGTTTCTCACAACCATCATATAGCTGAAACACTTGTGCATCTTCTTATAAGCCTATTGATGAGCTGAGCCTTTAAGAATTAACAAAGGACCCAGCGTCTGTGTTTAACATTCACACAGATCAATACACACACAGGGAAAATGACTTCACTTGAGAGATGAGTTGTGTATTTCCACTTGTTTGTGTTGGTGGCTGAGTTGCTCACCAAGTACAGACTCAAAAGACTGCTACATAAATACACAAAAGGATCTCATTTCTATGCAGTTTATATTGCAACAAGCAAATAGAACCAGCATTAGGACATATTCTGAAAACAATTCTTAAAGGATTCATAAAATATTACATTAAAAGGATTATGCAATTGTACTTATTTATTTAAGGAACAAATGCTATCTCATAGCTATCTTCTTGGCCCATACACAGTTTTTCAAGTCTTGATTTCATGACTAAGACTCATTAGAACAGACATTCTCAACCTGTGGGTCATGACGTCATTTGGAGTTCAAATGACCCTTTCACAAAAAATCACTTAAGACCACCAGAAAACACAAATATTAACCTTATGATTTATAACAGTAGTAACATTAGAGTTATGAAGTAGCAATGAAAATAATGTTATGGTTGGCGATTACTACAACATGAGGAACTGAATTAAAGGGCCACAGTGTTAGGATGAGAACCACCGTGTTGGAAAATGTGCGACATCACTTATTACTCCATGATTTGTTACATGACTAGAGGCTGTTTGACTTTCATGTGTTTTAAAAACCTTGAGTTAACCAAGTGGTGCTCCTTTCCTCTTCCCTGTTGCATTCCCTTGGGTTATCACGGGTTCTGTGAAAACTTAACATTTTAAGCTAGAGCTCATGAAAACAGGCTGATTGGTTGTCCTCACAGGATAACCGTGTTTTCTGTCCCCCCCACAGCTATTACTGGAGCACTTGGAATGCCTTGTGTCACGCCATGAAAGGTCACTAAGGATGACGGTGGTGAAACGACAGGCCCAGTCTCCCTCCGGAGTGTCCAGTGAGGTGGAGGTTCTCAAGGCTCTGAAATCTTTGTTTGAGCACCACAAGGCCTTGGATGAAAAGGTACAGTACTGTTATTATTTTCACCTCAAACTATTCTTCTGTTACTAGACAGAAGTTCCTTATTTTCACACAAATGAATAAGTAGCTTAGGTCAAAAGAACACTTTTGAGCTATGAAAAAACTTTAAAATTTAGTGATGGTGGGTGGACGGTCCACAAACACTCACTAAATATTAAACGTGTGGATGGACCATGTTCTTTTATTTATATCACTGAATGTACAAATTGTCAGAATTAGATCCTATTACATACTTACACCAGAGGGTTTTTGAACTCTGGTACTGCCTATGAGTATTTAATCTCTTTACCTCTGTTTTTGCCATCTCTCCTTTCCCCTTTTTTGAAGTACAGGTCCATAGATGTCATAGACTCAAAAAAAAAAAAAGTAACTAAAAACCACATGTATTTTGAAGTGGAATTTGGGCAGGCTTTAACTTTTGGACATCTATATTTGAAGCCTCCCTTGGGGGGATGTTGCTAACATCTTAGTTTAAGCACACAGTGGTTTCTACTGGTAACAATATAACGTATTAGAAGGAAAACTCATCTTTCTGCCTTTCCAAAAGTAAGTTGTAAATCTCTCTTAGCTGCAGTTAAAATAAGATCAACTGACAAATGTAAGGTAATATCCTTTAGCGATTAGGCAAGATTTATGACACAATTTTCTATTTTTTAAAAAGTTCAAAGAAGTGATTTCAAAATTTCAAAAGTCTTAGGATTTAGCATATCAAGAATTAGGGCACTTCATTGTAATATGCATGACAAGTTCTGAGCATTAAAATTCAAACATGGAATTATTGCAGGTTTATATCTATGTTTTTAGTACATAGAGTTTAGTTCCACTTAATATTTATATTCTTATATATTATTACCATCAGTCTTTCAGCTAGTTCTTTGAACAGAGGGTTATGTGAAATTCCTGTACAAGAATAACATCAATTCTGTCTTCTAGAGTGAAAGAAGAAGTTGTATTCCATTTTAATTTTGGTTATGAGAGGCAAAAACTATGAAAATTTCGAAGATTAAAACTACAGGTCATTTAACTAGCCATGTTAAGTTTAATATCAAATAATTATACTTATTTAGTTTTTTTCATATTTCCATTCATGAAAATACAATGATAAAATCCTATGAGAATTTATAGAATATTTGCCTTGTGTGAGGTTTGTCACACAAAGCATGACTTTCCCCTTGTGAGCAAAGAGTTCAGGGTCCCAGGCATTCACACATCAGTGACATGTGGTGACAAACACATGCCATCACAAAAGTGCAGTCTGGTTTTAGAGGAACAGCAAATGAGTTAGAAACGAATCATATTTTACCTAAATACTAAAGAATGAGTTGAAGCCATAGATCAGATGCCCTAATCAGTAGGATCAGTGTCCAAAACGACTTGGATCTGTGAGAACAGCATGGTATTCCCAAGAAAACAACTCTATTGAAAGAGTTAAATAAATATATTAGAGAATGTGGGATTTTTTTTTATGTTACCTGTAAGAACTTTGACGTGACTTAAGTGAGTCAGTGGTTTTAATCAGAGTAAAAATTAACCAATACTTTTCACACCGAACTTTGTTCTGTGAATACCTTTAGAAAAATATAGGACAATTATCATATAGAAGCTCCATCAGCTGAGTATAGATCAATGAAGCACACTTTAATATAGTTATATGGATAATTACAGCTCTTAAAAACTTTCTACAAGTTTCATAGACCTTGGCAAGTTCATGAGCAACTAAACTGGTGCCTATGAAGCTCTCCTTGTAAAATTCTGAGATTCCCCTCTGGAGTAGATAGATTGGTCTGCATAACTGGCTTAGTTGCTCTAGATCACAACTCCTTTTTCAGGTGAAGATAATAACAATATCTACCTACAGCCGCTGTAATGATCATCTATAATAGAGCAAACCTTTGAACCACTTCTTAATATAAGCAAATTTCTTTCAGTACATTAATATTTTACTTAGCATTTGAAAATGTCAATGTTTGTTAAAAGTTTGAAACTAAGTTACCGCCCTCTTGGTTCAAATGCTCATTTAAAATAACATTTCATTTGTTTATTGAGGAATTAGTTTGTTCTTATGAGAAGGGGGGGAGTAAAGACACAGGTGTATGAATAACTAATAACCATTTTAACCTAAAGGATGAGGCTATAAAAGTAAAGAAAAAATATAGGAAAATGCAATTAATTATTACTCAGGTAAAAAAAGATGTTTTCATTTTTACCATAGAATATAGTTAAGTTATGAAAAAAATTGAGCATGAATATTGACTATTATAATGGCTTGCAGTTTTAAATACTGATGTTCATTTACATAACCACTGACATGGGTAGACTTTTGAAGCTTAAGTACAACCAATAGTAATTTTGGCATGAGCCTCCACTGTTTCTCCAGTAGGGCAAACGCAACTCAAAGAACATCAAATATGTTTATGTAAAGCCTTGTTTACCATTGATATTTTCATGGTAAACTATCACAGAACAAACTATTCTTGAACTTTTAGTGTAAGAAGGTTTTCTCACAGTTTTTTTTCTTTGATAAAATCAACAGCTGCCACGGTGAAACCCAGCAATACCTTACTTTTTAATTTGGAAGTTCACTCCTTCCATTAACTTCTTCCTTGGGCAATATGATTGTAATACATATGATTGTAATAATAGTTTTCTTTTAATCTTCCATGAGAAAATTACCATACCCTTTAAATATTTCTTGAATGAAAGGTTTCACTAGGCATTTTCCTTCCATTTTAAAGAATACTGAAATAATAGATTAATTTAGAAATATTTGATGAATACAAATATTACAATTGGACATTGATAATTTATCATTTACCTGTGTAAAAAGCAATACATGTAAGGCAAAACATCATGACAGCTATAGTGCAATCCAGTGAAAAGAGAATTGTTAGCGATAGTGACAACTACCAACTACAGCTGTGTACTTCTTTGAGCAAAAATTTAAACAATTATTAGTTTGCACAATATAGCAAATCGATCTGCCTAAACATACATAATCCAACAAGAAACATGATTGTTAAAATATTATGATATTCTGCCAGTGCAATGATCAAGGCAGAGGCAGAAGTTGAAAATTTCGTGATACATACGATTTTTCCTGTGATTATAACTACAGCAAACCAGATATGGTAAAGTTATCAAGTTCTTAACCCTGGGAAGATTACATATTTGCATTTCCTTTTCTTTCCTATTAAAGTTTGATAAACAAAGCTAACATAACATTAACCGAAATTTTTGTCTAAAACAGAGTAACAAAGTGAATAAACAATTCAACATTATTATGGTATTCATTATTGATAATGGCAGCAAAAATTTTCATACATAGTTTTAATTAAAACTGTATTTTAAAAAAGTTTATTTTCAAATAAGATGGTTTTAGATTCATTAATTTATGGTTAACATATCCTTATTTGTCAAAACTGTAAATTTATGGAAAGTTAATTCTTTATTCATATTTCTTGATAGACTTCACGACTTATTTCTTTTAGTGCTTAACGTGTGGTAAAAGAAATCAGTAGCTAAGAATTTTGGGCTAAGAGAAATAACTAAGAAGATATTTTAACCTATAGCTTGTACTCAAGGAATATTGATTCAATACCATCACTACTTTAGAAACATTTTGATGAATCAGCACTTAAGTGAAAAGGTGCTACCTTAACCTCTCCTCTCAGTGACATTCTAAAAGTGTCCTAATCAGCACTATACACAGGAAAATCAAGGATTGTACTAAATGTCTTCAGGCTGTTCTCTCAACCTGGGACACCTGACCCCCTTATAAAGATCCACAGTCTACAGACTTCCACGTCAAATTCAGAATTTAATTCTGTGTTGCTCTTATAATTTGAAATTTGTCTAAATCACTGAAGCATGGCAATCAATCTGGCAGAGCTAAATAGAGATTCTGTGCAGAAGATTTTTAAGGCTAAATGTTATTCTATTTTGTGATACTCACACACTCAATATTTGAATGTAGCACTATATTTGGGCTTGCTTCAGCAGTTGAGTACACTCAGTCACCTGATTATACCCAATACCAAAACAGAATTTAAAGATGAATGTTTGAAACCTCTAAAATTCATATTTTGCCTGAAAGTTAAAAAGCATAACTTGCTCTATTTCTTAGGTAATTAACCAGGCAATTATTCAGCATTAAAATTTTATATAGTTTATATATTTATATATTTGCTTATAGTCCTATTTAAACCTTATTAATTAAGAAAAATGTTGTATGATAAAATACACAGTCAATTAAATAACAAAGTTAGTTTTTCAGGGATATAACTATAGTATTAAAATGAAAATTTATTGAGACATTTTTGTAACATTCATGTAGAAAATATGTTAATTTATAAAAAATCAAAAACTTGTGATTAATTGTGTCTTAAATCTATAGTTTATTGACTTAGGCAAATTAAACCACCAAGGTCATTAAGTAAATATTGACGCATGGTAGTTTACCTTTGGTAAAAGTAATAGAAAGTTTATATAATTGTATAAGAATACAATGATTTGGGATTTTTTTTTTATTTTGATTTGGCTTGGTTTTTGTTTCATTTTGACCCAGGCTTTCCTAAGTAGACTGAGCTGGCCTTTATCCTGTTATACGTCTCAGTCTTTCCTTCACCTTAGTCTTCCTCTTCGGTCTCCTAAATGTTGGAGATTGACTGGCACGTGCCAACACTCACGGTTTCCGTTTTAGAAGTCAGAAAGCAAGGGTCAAGGAAACAGTTCTGCGAAGTTCTACTATATAAGAAAACAATTTTAAGTCAGCCCCGCTTTCAAACTAAAAAATACTTAATTCTACAAATCACAATGCCTGTCCCCAGGATATATGGATACAAGGTGGGTGTTGCCAAATCATTAACACTTTGCAGTCACTTAAAATTTCAAATCGATTTTCAGTTTTCAAGAACTCTTTGCTTTTAAACAAATCACTTTGAAGTTAGGCACCGGAAACCAGCAACAAAATTCACTTATTTTAAAGATGTATTTTGCCTATTTTACTTGTTTTAACACCAATAATTTTGCAATGCTATCATGGTTATGCTTTTTGAACTTTGCATCTACTTGCTATGAATCAGAAATTGGAGAAAGGCCAGTCAATTTCCAACCCCATTGGAAGATTATCAGTTCATCTACAAAAGAATTTACTATAAGGACATCCCCTTGATCCAACGATGCCTCTGAGGTGACAATCTTTTCATGTTGTTCATACCACATTTGAGAGTCTGTTATCTTAGGGCTACAATTGCTTGAAGAATGTGACCATTTGTCTCTTATGTTAAAGATGGCTTCACCACAGGTTCCTATGTTTTGGATATACATTTCGGCACGTATTTTGATTTTTTTTTCTTCTAGGTAAGGGAGCGACTGAGAGTTTCTTTAGAAAGAATCTCTGCCTTGGAAGAGGAACTAGCTTCAGCTAATCAGGAGGTAACACACCAAACTTCCCTCTTCGGAGGTGCACTATTGCTAACATGCTGCCCCTTGTGTTACACGTTTGCTTTCATTAATTCTGTCACGAAATCGACCACATTCTGTCTATGTTGCTGAATGCCACCCATTGAAATGAGTTGCCAGAGGCCTGGTTTCTGGTTTCTGGCTGTTCAGATCTGTCACCAGGAGACCAAAGAAAAACCACCAATGTCTAGGGAGATGGCTATTTAGAAAACCAGTCCTAAAAATAAGTAAAACAACAACCCTAAAACTGGAATTTGTGTCCAGTTCCTCTTAAACTTTGAAATGCTAGAAATGAAGTAAATAACTCAGATAGACACATGCATCCAATTCCCCTCAGACTCTCCCTGTTTTCAGGAAGCATTGTGCTCAAGCCTAAAGGCACCACTGGATTAGCATCCCTGTGAAGATTCAAAGACATCATTTAAAATCACAGCTTAAGATTTAAAGAGCTAGGACCCCAACAGACCCAGACCTGCTCAGCCCTTGTACGTGTATGCCACAGCTCCTGTGAGTTCCTGTGTGCTTCAGCTGTGCTGTTTAGAAGGCCTTGTTGCCCTGGAGTTCTCCCAGAAGCTATTGCCAATTGATAACTGCTTGCAAATGAAAACATTAGTTTTCTCTAATGCAATCTCACTGAGTATACAAACAACTCTTAAAGACCCATGCCCAACAGTAGATGCCCAACATAAGATGAGCTAAATGACATTCTGGGAGAATTTTTTTTGTCTCATAATGTGCTTGATGGGCATTTTTTTTTCTTTTACTTTTCTTACCCTACAAGCCTTTTGCTTACATACTATTATTTACCATTTTGTGTCTTTATGAGATTCCTATGTGTGTGTCTCTTAGTCTTTACGTATTTCTTGTGTTTTCTCTTGCCCCTTTGCTTTTCTGTACATTTGTTTTGTTCTTTTTGTACATTTTCTTTAATTTCCTTTTTATTTTTCCATTTTCTTTTTAGATGCCTTTTTTTGTTGTTTGTTTGTTTGTTGAAGAGAAAGTCAAAAAGAATGAAAATTTAAGTTTGTGGGGAGGTGGGCAGTATTTGGAAGGCGTTGGGGAGGGGCAACCACAGTAGAGTATGTTTTATGAAAAAAATCTACTTTCAACAACAAAAGGATAAAAGATTTAAAATGTTTTTTCTTTACAAGTATTCAATTATTATTTTTTGTATTAGTAAAATTGAATAATTAGAATATAGTCATGCAAATACAAATTTGGGTCCTTATTAGAAAATCAAACAATAGTGTCTACATCTAAATTTATGTTTATTTGCAAGTGCACTTGTTGAAGTTGATCCTCATAATTTTATAACTGGTAGTGAATATAACAAAATAGATAAGCATATCTTCCTGAAGTTTCATTAATTTTAAATGTGATACTCTTAATACTAAGTATTAAGAATTTCTAACAAAATGATGTGTTCACACACATTTAACTAAATTCTTTATTTGTTGATGTTTTTCTAGTATTAATAGAATATTTCCACACATTTAAAAAACAGAATAAATTCTATTTACTTCACTTGATATTGATTCTTTAAAATAACTTAATTTAAACAAACTCATTTGTTTATGCTTTTCTTGGCTCCAGGTTTAATAATTAAAGCCTTGAAAATAGTGGACTTTAGCTAGAAAAGCGTCAGCATGCAGGAAGTTCTTGCCACACAGGAATAGTGTGAAATACCTTGGTTTCTTAGCTGTTGCTGTGATAACCTTCCCAGACCAAAGCAGTTTGAAGGAGAAAAGGGTTATTCTAGTTCACAATTCCAGGTTCGTGTCCATCCATGTGGGAAAGTCCAACCAGCACAAGTATAAGTATGTAGTTGACTTCCATCACAGTCAAGAGCAGAAGTCAACAAGTGGATGGATTTGTCAGGTCACATTCCCTGCTCTTACACAGTTCAAGAGTCCCTTCAGAGGGACCATTCTCTGACAACACATTGTAACGGGAGAGACATCACTTTTATTTCCTGAGTTTCAGATGGCAATAGTACTGTTCAAGAAATATGGGATTTACTCAATCCCTGAGATTAGAAGAAATGAGAAGTCAGAGAGAGTTCAGATTGTGAGATATATCTTGACATATTCACACCTAAGTGTACTTATCAGTATATACAAACAAATAGTTCCTTCTATATCATTTTATATGACTCATTCAGCCCTATTTTCTCTGTGTCTCTTGTTTGATAGCTCTCATTTTCTTTCATCTTGTCTTCTTTTCCTCACATGAATTAGTCTTGTTGACTTAGAGGGTCTTGATTTCTTAGCATCCTCTATTCCCTCTGGCTCTTGCCCTTTCTGACTCCTCCAGGAGTCCCTGAATACTTAGGGGAGAGGTTTTTATAGACATTCCATTTAGGCTTGGCTGTTCCAAGGTCTCTTACTCTCTCTAGTTATTGTCTGGCTGTAGGTCTCTGTATTTTCCCATCTGTTGCAGGAGGAAGCTTCTCTGACGATGACTGAAATAAACACTAATGTATAAGTATAAACCAGAATGTTGTGAGGCATAATTTTATTGTTACTTTTTTTTTAACAGTAGAATTTGGTTTTACCCTAGATCTCTGGGCAATCCAGTGAACGGTTCTTGGTAACTTAGTCAATGTCAGTTATGGGTTCCATATCACCTTAAGTCAAAACAGATATTGGTTGGTTACTCACACAAGCTGTGTGTCATGGCTGCCCTAACATTTTGCAGTTAGTACACCATGGTAGATCACAGGTTTTGCATCTGGCTTGCACTTTACATTTCTCTTTTGTATGCACAGTACCTTTTTGTACCAAAGAGGAAGAACATGGGTGTGAAGGCTTTATATATGCACTATCTGGACTTCTCTGTGTTCAATTAGTTATAGACCTGTTGTGTTCAGCAATGGGGCCTTGCCAGCAGTTTTTGGATAGTCTTAGAAATAGCCTTGACTTTTTGGAGGTTCCTATAGGCCTGTTTGGCCAACAACTCAATTAGATATAACCACTTCCCAGTACAGGAAACTTCATTTGATGACAAGAGATGACCAGCTGGGACTCTCTCTCCCTCATTATTTGGCAATGTCCTTCAGATATCAGTTTCATATGTATATATTTTAAGAAGCTCTACTCTATTTGGTTTTTATAGTACCCTTCAATTTTCTTTAATAGTAGCAGTAACTTCCTGTATTCCCCTCCCCCATCCCTATCACCACTTTCACTTTGCTACTGTCCTCCCATTTCCACCTCTCCCTTCATCCATAGCTATCTATTCTAATTTCCCTTTAGTCCTGTACTCTATACCTAAGCTCAGTGTTTCTACAGATTGACTGTACTTGGTCATCACTGACTTAACAGTTAATGTCCACACGTAAGTAAAAACATATAATATTTGTCTTTCTGGATCTGGGATATCTTAGTCAGGATGATATTTTTTTCTAGTCCCAGCCATTTACATGGGAAATACATGATTTTGTTTTTAATAGCAGTGTAATATTCCCTAGTATAAGTGTTCTAATTTCTTTATCTGTTCATCTTTTGAGAGAAAAATAGGCTGTTTCCAATTTCTGAATAGAATAAACACAGCAGTGATGAACATAGTTAAATAAATATTTATTGGTAGGAACAGGCATTCTTTGTGTATATATCCATATACACAAAAGTGATATATCTGGATATTGGGATAGATCTCATTCTGTCTTCTTCAGGAACCACCACATTGTTTTCCACAGTGTCTATACAACTTTTCACTCCTACTAGCAATGAAGGAGTAGTGCCCTTACTCTATGTCCTTGCCAGCATTAGTTGTCACTTGTTTTATTGATATTAGCCATTTTGACAGGTATAAGATAGAATCTCATAACAGTTTTGATTTCCATTTCCCAAATGGATTAGGATATTGAATATTTTGTGTTTCTCAGCCATTTGAGTTTCCTCTTTTGAGAATTCTGTCTAGATCTGTTTGACAGATCTAATTTATATTTAAAACAATTTAATTCATATTTTAAATTTATAATTTATGTCCTATATAATTTATAAATTATGTTACTTATTTTCTTTATCTAGATTTTAAATTATTCATATATTTTAAATATTAGCCCTTTATCAGATGTATAGTTTCTAAAAAATATTTCCTCTTATGTAGGCTGCAAATTTGTCTGGAAGAAGTGTTCTTTGTTGTGCAGAAACTTCTCAGTTCCATGAGGTCTGTCTTTTTATTTGTTGATCTTGTGCCTGGGCTAATGGTGTTTTGCTCAGAAATTCTTTTCCTGTTCTAATGATTTCAAGATTATTCGTCATTTTCTCTTCTATCAAGCCTAGTGCATCTGGTATTAAGTTGTCTTTGATCCATTTGGACTTGAGTTTTGTGTACGGATCTAATTGCATTCTTTTTTATGTTTTTATTTATTGATTTTCATTGAGTTCTACATTATTCTCTGCTCCCTTACCTGCCTCTCCTCTCCCCTTCAACCCTCTCCCAAGGTCCCTATGCTCCAAGTTACTGAGAAGATCTTGTTTTTTTTTTTTTTTTCTTCATGTAGATTAGATCTATGTATGTCTCTTTTATGGTCCTTATTGTAGTCTAGGTTCTCTGGGATTGTGAAGTGTTATGCAGACATTAAGAGACCCCGGAGCCCAAATTAATTGCATTTTCCTATGTGCAGCCATCTGACTTGACCAGCACCATTTGTTGAGAAGGATATCCTTTTTCCAGTGTGTATTTCTGACCTCTTTATGAATATTGTCAATTTGTGTTTGAATTTCGTTCTTTGGGAAAAATCGATAAGATTAATGAAAGTCTATCCAATTTAACAAAAGGCAGAGAGAATAATCAAATTAACAAAACTAGAAACAAAAAGGAAAACTTAACAACAGACATCAAGAAAATCCAGAGAATCATAATAATATGCTATAAAAAACAAATACTAGACCAAACTGGAAAATCTAAAAGAAATGTATATATATATATATATATATATATATATATATATATATATATATATCACT